TCAACAAGAAAAGGAAGGAATTTCATCAAGATCTCACCGGCTTTTCAAGGGGGAAGAAAGTCGGTGGCTTGGGGGCTTCGGTCGGCAGAGGAGAAAAAGAAGAGCAGATGTTGCGGATAAGGATGAAGAAAAAGAAAGAAAAACTCAGCCATCCTTATCCTAATTTCCTTTCTTTTTAAGTCCCTAAACTTTTAAAATTTTACAATTAAGCCCCAAAACAATATTTTTCTTCAAATAAATCCCCAATTAAATGCTAAAATACCCCCAAAATTTTGGGATATTACAAATTTATTGCTACTTTTCTTCGGCATGTGTTTCACAGCAATTTTTTTTTTTAATTTTTTGGGTAAATTCCTCATATGGAGTTTTTGGTTCAAAGTATAAGTTCCTTTTAAACCTTACTTGTAGTCCAGGCAATTTAGTAGTCAGCAGAATAGTTTGTCATTTTAGGAGTTGCCGCCCAAATTTATTTACTTGTTTTTTTAGGTGAATCAAAAATATATTAGGGGTATCCCAAATATATGTACTGTTAGAAAAATTAACTTTTTAACAAAAATAATGTACTTATAATAAGTTAATAACAAATAATATTCTAAACTTATAACATAATATATTATTATATAATTAACATTTTCAATTTAAGATCCACATGTGATATATATATTTTTTTATCAATCAAACTAAAAAATTGTATTAATGGGAGTACAAGGGGTATTCTATCCCAAACCCCATCTTAATACATTAGCACAATTTCTAACAAAAATTTAACAGAAACATCAACATAAGCTAAATGAGTGGATACATATGCAAGATTATAGATAAAGACCCACCTATAACATTTTATGCGTTCAAAACCCTATTTATAATATTATAAACATTTATTTAATAATATGTTATAATTGTAAGTTTACAATCTTACATGTTATTTTAACTATAGCATTGTCGTTTTATTAAAAGGAAAACAAAGATTGGAAAGATTAGAACTAAAGTGATTAATATCGTTATTGGCCGAAAGAAGACAATTGTTTTCAGGTACAAGTTATTAACAGCTTCAAGTTTTCTTTCCATTGTTTCTTTTTCCGAAAGTGATATATAGCTTATACTACTACTTTTCTTTAGCATCTGTTCCAAGCATTTTTATCCACAATTTTTATTCAAAGCATAACCTGCTTCTTTGGAGTCCCTAGATATTTGTACTTGTTAAAAAATGCTAAACCCCCAAATTGGTCCTTCAACTATTATATAGACCCCCCGATTTGGTCCTTAAACTAAAAAACCCTAATTTGCTCCCTATTATTTACCAATTTGGCTCCAAGTTAATCCTTCCTTACAAAAATAGTTAACATGTTTCGTTATTAATGTGACGCGTGGTCATTAAGTAACAGACATATCAATTTTTTTTTAACGAAAGTACTAACTTGGGACCAAATAAGCAAATAGTAGGGATCAAATCAAAGATTTTTTTAGTTTAGAAACCAAATTATGGGTTTGTTTAATAGTTGAGGGACCAAATTGGAGTTTAACCTTAAAAAACCCCTTAATTCACATTTTTGGCAGAACCTAATTCTTTTTTTAGAAAACCACAAATTGAAAAGATTGAGACAAAAGCGATCGATGTTGTATTCAAACAACAAGTTCTTGATTTACTTCAACTTATTCTTTTTTTTCCCCATAAGAGACATCATGAACTTCACTAATATACTACTACTCTCCACCTAATATGGTGATTCAATTTTTAAGAATCTAAAATTTCAAATTAAAGATTTCAAATTTAAACCTTAATTCGATCAAGGGGGCCTAAGAGGGGGTTAAAGTATGCATTTAGCCCCTTACCTTAATAAGTTTAAAACTTTTAGCCTCTCACCTCATATTATGAAGTTTTTGGCCCTAAACTTAAAGGTATGAAGATTTTAACTTCTAAACTAATTTAATCTGTTAATTCTCTGTTAAAATGAGAATAAAATGTTTACAAAATCAATTTTTAAAGATTAAATATTTAATAATTTAATTTTA